CAAACTATGGTGGAGATAATGAAGATAATGGCGACCTCCTTCAAAAGGCCCCATGCATGTACTGCTACATTCATTGCCCCCAACCCTGCAGCAGGCCACCACCGACCTACATCTCCATTGAAGACTCCTGGACACTCCCAGGCAAGTCTGAATCAGTCTCTTATGGGGTCACTGCTCCTTCTCCTGGGTCCTGGTGCATACAAGGTTCTGTTTGTGCCCTCCATGAGTCTATTTCCCAGTCCTGTGTAAGTTCTGGCTGCTCTATGGTGGGGTTAATGGCGACCTCCTCCAAGAGGGCTTGTGCCATACCCAAGTCTGCTGCACCCAGGGCCCCTGCCCCTGCGGCAGTCCATTGCTGACCCGTACCTACATGGGAGACACTCAAACCCAGTTCTGTCTCTGTCTATGTGGGGTCTCTGGGTCCTGGTGCACACAAGGTTTGTTTAAGCCCTCTGAGTGTCTCTGGTGGAGATGGGATTTGATTCTAAATGCGAATTCACCCTTCCACCATCTTGCTAGGGCTTCTCTGCCCTTGGACGTGAGGTATCTCCTCAAAGTCTCTCCAGTGCCTACCATCTTGCTGGGCTTCTCTGTCCTTGGACGTGGGGTATCTCCTCAAGGCCGCTCCAGCGCTGAACAGCAATGGAAAGCAGTATTGGCCAACATGCTCCTGTATTCTTGCTTGGAGAAACCTGCTCCCTGACAGAGAAGCCTGGCAGGCCACAGTCTCGCAAAGAATAGGACACTACCAGAGCAACCCCGTGTGCAGAGGTGCAAGACTTTTTTTGCTTGTGGCAGCTATGCCCCAGTGAGAGTTGACCGTGATGGTGGCACAGCTGCTTGGCTTGCAGGGACTCTGGCAGCACCAAGTGTGCAGGGACATGGACTGCCTCCACCGCAGGAGTTATGGCACTATCAGAGTCTTTTTTCGAGCCTCTTGTAGCTGGCGATCAGAAGGCCTCTTTGGCCAGTCTTTCTCCGTAGCTCCACCCATTCAAGCACTTACAGGGCTTCCTTACCTGGGGACCTTCTCTGTTGTTTGGCTCATCAGGCACATATAGCCCACCCCCCCCAGCTGGGGTCCTACTCTGCAGATTGGCACATCAGCACTTAAAGGCACACCCTGGGTGGAGTCCTACTCTATAGTTCAGTGTGTCAGGTGCTTGCTGGGCCAGCCTCTCTACTGTTCATCTGCCAATGCTGGCACTGTGAGGAGAGACTATGGTGATGGCTCCACCCCCAAACGTGACTTAGCAGTATCACCTAGCTTCCATGACTGCCTGGCTTTCTTCCACAGGCATTTCCCACCACAGTCCCCTCCCTCACATCCCCTTGATCAGTCTCTCCACAGGCAACAGCAGCCCTCACTTTGGGATTGCTCCACAATCCGTAAACTCCAGCTACCAGCCACTGCACCTTCCAGGGGATCTGCATCCCAGTCTTGGTTATGTATGGTTGCAAGGACTGTCTGATTCTCATTCCATTTAGGCTGCCACAGATCAGCTGTTTCACTCTCAGCCTTAAATGTTTCTCCTCTGACTCAGACAATTGCCCTGATGTGGGGATTGGACCCTTGCTTCAGTTCCCCCACCTGCCGAGGGCAAGTCCAGTCCTACTAACACTGTTTTTTTCCCCTAGTTCCTTCATCCTACCAAGGTTTGGGTGGGTCTATATATTATTTTCCGCTGGTCAATGACTTCTATCCACTCTCAGCTGGTGTTCTTCATGTACTTCTGCATCTGAATGTGTATTCCTGATGTATCCGTGGAGAGAGATGTACTCCACGTCCACCTATTCCTCTGCCATCTTGTTCTCCTGTATGAATTTTTAAAACAATTTCAAAAACCAGGAAATTAGAAAATTGAAATGTGTGTGAAATTTTTGTTTTGCCATTTCTGTACTATGTAGCAGTCCCCATTTATATATTTAAATGTTTGATTAACTAGGATATGTGGAAAATATGTAAATAAACTGGGATATGTGGGAAAAGTATAATAGAGGTAGTGGATGGGTATATAAGTTTCTTCACTTTATCTATTGCATGTCACACATAAACTGCTTCTGAAGAACTCCATAGTACACTTTGGGAGAATGAGAATAAACTGGGAAATGAAATTGCTAGGGAAATAATTTAGAACTTACTGAACTCTGTCATGACTGACCTAGAGAAAACACTACAGTTGGGGTCAAGAGGTTGGAATTTTGTAGATCCTCCTAGCTTTTCTCTCATTGTTTTGCTGAAAGTCACATCCTTCACAGATGTTTACATCCAATAACAGTTGTACTGATAAATTCTTTTTAACTTTAAAATTTTTTATGGATGTATTCATGAGTTGCAATATCATATTTGTTCAGGTTTACAACTTAGTGATTCAGTTGTTTTATATATTATACTCTGTTTATGTTTATTATTAGATAATTGGTGAATTTCTCTGTGCTGTACAGCATATCCTTGTTGCTTAAAGTTCAAAATGAATAGTTTAAAATATAATGAAATATTAAGTTCTAATGAAAACCATTGTAAATTACAAAAGACTGAAATTGCAGAGTGCTTTCTCTCTCTCCAAGGATGTAGTAAGCTTGAAATCAATCTTTTAAAAAAGAAATAGGAGAATAGAATTATGGACATGGGGAAAGGGGAGGAGAGGGTGAGGTGTATGGAAAGAGTAACATGGAAACTTACATTACCATATGTAAAAAGATAGCCAATGGGAATTGGCTGTATGGCTCATTGCTGTATGGCTCAAGAAACTGAAACAGGGGCTCTGTATCAGTCTAGAGGGATGGGATGGGGAGGGAGATGGGAGGGAGTTCCAAAAGGGAGTTCCTAGGGTATTTAGATATAACCTAGGTTGATTCATGCTGAGGTTTGACAGAAAACAGAAGAATTCTGTAAAGCAATAATCCTTCAATTTAAAAAAGTAATTAATTAAAAAAATAAAAAATATCTCAAACACAAATAAAATGACTAGGAAAATCAACAAGTACCTTGAAATTCAGCAATATACTTATAGAAATAAAAATGTCAGTGCACCAAGAAGAAAACACAATGGACATTAAATTCAGTAAATATAATCATTACCAATAGCAGTCAAATACTGGAGGGAGAAAAAGGAGTCATCTTATTTCTCTTAATTGCTGAATATCCTCCTCCTTCTTATTTTGATGCAAGGAGCTAGAGACATGTCCCACAACAAGAAATGGATGCATGCATGTGCACTAAGTCTCTTCGGTTGTGTCCGACTCTTTGTGACCCTATGAACTGTGGCCCACCAGGCTCCTCTGTCCCTGGGAATTATCCAGGAACGAATACTGGAGTGGGTTTCCATGCCCTCCTCCAGGGAACCTTCTCCATCTAGGGACAGAACCTGGGTCTCCTGTGTCTCCTGCATTGCAGGCAGGTTCTTTACTACCAGAACCAACTGGGAAGACCCAAGAAATGGATGTGTGCATGCTAAGCCACTTCAGTCGTGTCTGATTCTATGGATTGTAGCGCACTAGGCTCCTCTGTCCATGGGACTTTCCAGCAAGAATACTGGAGTGGGTTGCCGTGACTTTCTCCAGGACATCTTCCCAATCCAGGGATTGAATCCATGGCTCTTACGTTTCCCACATAAGGCATGTTCTTTACCACTAGCACCACCTGGGACGCCCAAGAAATGGATGCCTGTACTTAAATCGCCACAGTTAAAAGCAAGTGCTTGAATGGAAAAACATCAGGGAAACTATCACCCCACGTTTCCGCTCCACCTCTAGGCTGAGTGTCACAGGAAGGTTGTTATTTGTTCAACCCTCCTCACTCCACCATATGTTTGGCCAATTGCTTTGGCTCGTGGGCTACCAGTCCCTCATTGGCTGCTACTGTGGAGACTGTGGCTATATTCACTGTCACTGGACTATCCCACCAACCCTGCAAGTTTGCAATTCAGTCAGGATTTTTGTTTTGTTTTGTTTTTTGTTTTGTTTTTAAAACAAAATGTTCTAGGTTGCAAACAAAAAACAGGATCAGAGAAATCTGGATAAGGTAATTTCAGAAGATATGGTGCTTGATTTCAGAACTTTAGAATTTAAGAAAATAAGAATTTTACACTGTGTTTGAGTCCTATTTTACACATGGAAGTGAATTGGGATTGAAGGAATAGAATGGGTAAGTGAGATTTTTGTATCTGCTACTGCTGGTGCAGTGATAAAGAATCAGACTGCCAGTGCAGGAGATGAAAGAGATAGGGCTTCTATCCCTTGGTCAGAAAGAAGCCCTGGAGTAGGGAAGAGCAACCCAGTTCAGTATTCTTGCTTGGAACATTTCATGGAGAGAGGAGCCTGGCGGGCTCCTGTCCATGGGATCAGAAAGAGTCGGACATGACTGAGTGACTGAGCACACATACACACATACACCGCTCTTTGTGTGCATGCGTGCTACCTTGCTTTAGTGGTGCCTGACTCTTTGCAGACCCTATGGACTGTAGCCCACCAGGCTCCTCTGTCCATGAGATTCTCCAGGAAAGAATACTGGAGAGGATTGCCATGCCCTCCTCCCAGGGATCTTTATGAGCCAGGGATAGAACCTGCCTCTCCTGTGACTCCTGCACTGCAGGCGGATTCTTTACTGCTGGGCCACCTGGGAAGACCACACCATTTTTTATCGGTTGCTATACCCCATATAAAAATCTCTGGATGACACCTAAATCTAGATGGGAGAATGAAAATGAAAAAGGCCAATGAAACTTTTAGGGGAAGAATTTTGACCATAAAGATCCCTAAAATCGCTGAGAAACCATGAATAGGAATAACCATTTAGGAAAGTGACGAGTTGCAATATGTTAAGAAGAAAGTACATGATTTTCCATTGAACAAATGGCACAACCGACATATATTGAAGCAAAGTTAATGAGGTTTTTAATATTTTATTTGGGGGTAGAAATGTTTTGAAGATGCAATATAGGGCCTAAGGGGAGAACCCTTAAGTCTGGTTTGTGATAGTCAGATAGTTGTGAGGCAGTTCATCTGTGGGTGTTGTATCTGATGACTGACTTGGTGGCCTCGGACATGGCATACTTGCCGATCTCCCCAGGCAACAGAAGACACACAGCTGTCTGGATGTCCTCACTCATGATGGTACAGCGCTTGCTGGAGCGGGTCAGGCACCCGGCCTCTTCGGCAATCCGTTCAAACATATCCTTCACGAATGAATCCATGATGTTTAAAGCTTCGTGGGAAAGACTCAGTCCTGTGTGCACTTGCCTCAGCACTCTAGGGAAATAGGTGGCGAAGCTTGCAAAGTTGTTCAGACGGCAGGAGTGGCAATGGCGACGGCGACGGCAGCCCTTAGCTGTCTTCTTCTTTTCCTTTCTTGGCTCGTCATCACAGGGCTCTAGTTCGGAGAAATCTGTTTCTGAGATCTCCATTTGGGAGGTGCAGGTTTCTTTAGTGACCAGGCCTTCCTCAGAGTTGCCAGAGGATGGTTCAGCCATGGCAGAGCCACCATTCCCCATAGCTCAGAGGGAAGAACAATGAGGCGGTTGAAGGCTGTTGGCCGAGTTTATAAGCCCTGCTTTCTCTGACGTCACAGACACTGTCTATATCTGATTGGATAAAATGCCAAGGCAAGCCTGTTACTATGGCAGCCCATGTAACTTCTCGCTGGATGTCCTACCTCCCAACTCCTGCCGTGCCCCTTCCCCACGTTTAACCTCCAGTCAGTCAAACTCAGTGAAAGTCACCTAAGTTGAAAAATGAAATAATCAGTTAGAGCTTCCTGAGAGAGTATGACTGACTTTCATAACTCAAACTCTTTCAGGCACCAGAGTGACTCAGGTCACTTGGTGGACATTTTACTCCAACACATAACTTTCTCCTGATTGAAGCAGGAGCAGAATGTCCTGGCTTCCTCAGCAGAGTGCTCCTGAAAATCATAGGAATTAATTGACCAGCTATTACCTCCAAAATTTATCAAAACCAGTGATCAGTATGAAGAGAATGACAAAATCCCACTCTCCAAATACAGAACACAAACAGAAATAGGAATGCTTACACATACACACTAAAAATATTTAACATTTTGCAAATTTTAAATTGTTTTCTCAAACATTATTTAATTCCCCCGAGTACCACACATATTGGAATTTATTAATGATTTATACTGGTTATTTCTCAAAAAAGATCACTCTTATTGCTGAACAGCCTCCAGGATGAGAGAAAATGAATTAAAAAAGAGAAATAAAACACCTAGGAATAAACGTACCTAAGGTGGTGAAAGACCTGTACTTAGAAAAAATAATACCCTGATCAAAGAAAGTGAAGATAATACAAACAGAGGGAAAGGTTTACCTTGATTATGGATTAGAAGAATTGATATTGTTAAAATAAACATGCTATCCAAGGCAATCCACATACTCAATGCAACTGCTATGAAAATACCAGGGCATTTTCCACAAAACTAGAAGAGACAATTTTAAATTTTGTATGGAAAGATGAAAGACCCTGAATCGCCAAAACCATCTTAAGGAAGATCAGAACTGGAGGAATCAGGTTCCCTGACTTTGAACTATATCAGTAAACTACATTAATACAATCAGTATAGTATTGGCACAAAAACAGACATGTGGAACAGAAGAGAGAGCCCAGAAATGAACCTATGTGCTTATGGTCAATTAATCTATAATAAAAAAGAAAGGAATATACAGTGGAGAGAAGATAGTCTATTCAATAAGTGGTGCTGGGATAATTGGATAGCTACATGCAATAAAGTAAAATTAGAACATTCTCTAACAGCATATACAAAAATAAACTCAAAATGGACTAAAGACTTAAATGTAATACATATATTATGTAGGAAGTCATTTTAAGAAAGAATCCATTAGATATATTAATGACCTGTGTTTCTTTCACATTTGTAAATTCAGAAATTAAATGAACACATTAATTATAAAAAAAAACACTAAAAATACAAAACAATTGGGTTTTGAAGAGATAACTGGGACCTCAAAGGTCTCTGATACACAGGAAATCTAGGATGGAGAAAGGAAAAGCAGTTTGATGTTGAAGAGTGGAAGGGGGAGTAACACTAGTAATTATTCACTTCAGTTGGTGATTGAGGAAATAAGAGAGCCTAGTGAGCAATCACCTTGCAATGTTATGGTTCACTGTAAAGGCAAAATAAGGCAAATGGCTTCACGACTGAGTTAACAATTGCAAGTCTCAACTCACAGATGATGGTGTTGATTCAATAAGCATACTCCATTCAGAAAACTTTTCAACATTAGCATTGCTTATGGATTCACTTATAAAGAGGACCCCAACACAGCATAGAAATTAAGTGCAACAAAAAATTCAGGGGAAAAAACTCATTTCACACTTCCTAGAATCAGAAGTTTCTACCCTAATTCATTCAGATGATCTAATGTCATTCTTTTTCGGCCCTTATTCTCTTGTTTTTGAAGTGGAAAACCTTCATTATTTTCAGCTTAACATCAAAGGGATGGTGAGGGCATTCAGTCAGAGAAGCTAAAAAGTTCACATTGACTCCATGTCAGCCAAGGAAGGACTCAAAACTGGTAGCCACAGTCACTGAGCCACCCTACAGCGAGGTTATCCTGACTAACCAATAATGGTCTTCCTGGGGTGTTCAGGTCTGGTAACAGTAGAGTAAGAATTATGATTATTTATCTACTTTATTGTTCATTTTATAAACCTAATTAAGATCATTTAAATATTATATAAGTATTAGAAAATGGCCAAATAGTAAAGAATCCAGTTGCAATGCAGGAGACTCAGGTTCAATCCCTGGGTCCGGAAGATCCCCTGGAGTAGGAAATGGAATCCCACTCCAGTGTTCTTGCCTGGAAAATTCCATGGACAGAAGAGCGAGGCAGGCCATGGAGTCACAAAGAGTCAGACACGACTGAGCGACTAACACTTTCAACACTTTCAAGTATTCTAGAGCTCCTGTACAAAATGCTAGTGATTGGGCCAATTAAACACATTTATTTATTGTCTCATACTTGTGGAGGCTCTAAGTCCAAATCAAGGTTTCATCTGAGTTGGATCTTACGCAAGGTGTGAATGCATAAGGGGCCTCCATTACTGGCCACTTTCCTTGACTTGTAGATATCTGAAATCTCCCTATACCTCCCCACATTTTCTTTCCTATATGTATGTATCTATGTCTTATTTTCCCTTTTTATATGGCTATAACTCATTTGAATTAAGACCTACTCTAATGAACGTATACTTGATTACTTGGTAAATACTCTATCTCCAAATGTGATCACATATGAACACATATGAGTGTTTATGGCATAGATACATTAATTTTAGAGGCACAAAATCAACACATAAGAGATATGCATTTTGAACTAATTATAGGCATATCTCCTGCCTCTTCCATCTCATTAAAAGACCACTGGTTACCACTTATGAGAAACAAGGTGGCCCCACCACAGTCATTTTCACAATTCTGTGAATGTTCAGTAATTTCATTTTAGTATTTTATTTCTTCTTCCCTCTGTGAGGGAAAAGATAGTCTGTCATTCTCAATTGTTACAAAGTATTCTTTACACCTACAGTTGTAATTATTTCCTCTTGTGTAGGACATAAGAGCCTGTAAAGTACAACACTCTCAGCCAAACTTTGAGATAAAATCCTGATAATTCACGAAATCAAACTTTTCCTGAGCCCTTCAGGAAAGGAACAGGGCTCTACAGGACAGAAGAAAAAAAAAAAAAAAGAAGACTTTCTTTATTTTTTTAAATTTATTTTTATTAGTTGGAGGCTAATTACTTTAAAATATTGTAGTGGTTTTTGTCATATATTGACAAGAATCAGCCATGGATTTACATGTATTCCCCATCCCGATCCCCCCTCCCACCTCCCTCTCGACCTGATCCCTTTGGTTCTTCCCAGTGCACCAGGTCCAAGCACTTGTCTCATGCATCCAACCTGGGCTGGTGATCTGTTTCACCCTAGATAATACACATGTTTTGATGCTGTTCTCTTGAAACATCCCACCCTCGCCTTCTCCTACAGAGTCCAAAAGTCTGTTCTATACATCTGTGTCTCTTTCTCTTTTTTGCATATAGGGTTATCATTATCATCTTTCTAAATTCCATAGATATGTGTTAGTATACTGTATTGGTCTTTATCTTTCTGGCTCACTTCACTCTGTATAATGGGCTCCAGTTTCATCCATCTCATTAGAACTGATTCAAATGAATTCTTTTTAATGGCTGAGTAATATTCCATGGTGTATATGTACCACAGTTTCCTCATCCATTCGTCTACTGATGGGCATCTAGGTTGCTTCTATGTCCTGGCTATTATAAACAGTGCTGCAATGAACATTGGGGTGCACGTGTCTCTTTCAGATCTGGTTCCCTCAGTGTATGCCCAGAAGTGGGATTGCTGGGTCATATGGCAGTTCTATTTCCAGTTTTTAAAGAAACCTCCACACTGTTTTCCATAGTGGCTGTACTAGTTTGCATTCCCACCAACAGTGTAAGAGGGTTCCCTTTTCTCCACACCCTCTCCAGCATTTATTGCTTGTAGAAGACTTTAAACTGGCAGAACCTCATAAGATAAATAAAAAGAATTAAGGTCCTGGGGCAAGATACTAGAGAAATCCTCCCTTTGTAGTACAGGTATGAAGTGGACAGTACCTATTCATAACGGGCAATGAAGGTCTGTACTTTTTGGTCCAATATGGAAGCATTCTTATAGGCTATTATACCTCCAGGGCTCTCTTTGGTCAATGCAGTACATATTTAGGAGAAATGAGACTCATTGTCAAAAATATTTTTTAGTATTTTGTGGACAATTAGAGAAATCTTATGAGAGAATTTTTTTAAAAGAATATGATTCCCAAGGAGGCCAGGAAAATCTTCCACCAAAGCAATGTTAAGAAAATATCTCTAGGTGGGACCTTGAGATGATCGTAGACAGCCTGAATATAACTTTGGAAATGAAAAGCTAATTTCAGAGCCATTGAATTTTTGAAAAGGGAACTCTAGACCCGTAGGAAAGAGACAGTATTTCACAGAATTATTTCATTTCTATTGTGCTCATTGTTGTTGATTTCAGTATACCCGTATTTACCTATGTGACATACGAATATTTTTCCAAGCAATTTTTGTCCATTGCTATTATGTGTGAATTCCTGTTAAGAAACCTAATCCACTAGCATATTTTTATTGGGCTAGGTGTGTTTTACATTTAGTGAATCCAGTCGTCAAATGCAGGCATTAGGAAACCAGTTTTACAACTGCACCATGCAGGCCTTGAAGATAGAAGTGCATGAATGACTAACATTTGACACCTAGGAAGGAGGGAGGGACAATAGGGTTCAATGTTGAAGACCAAGAGGGGAAATGAGCATATATAATTGTTCACTTCAGAGGGTGATTGAAGAAAACAGCCACCTAATGAATAATCATGATCTAATGGTGTTGGCTATTGCAAATACAAGTTAGGACAAGGGTTTTCTGCTTAAATAGCAGAC